TGCCTCTGTCAAGCTCCAGTTTAAATTCTTTCAACGGTTTTAAATAAAGGATAGGAGTAAAGTCTATAAAATGATTTTGCAATTCATAATACTGTCATCATAGTAGTTTTCAACACTAGAATAAACAAGCAGCTCTTGGGTCGATATTAACGCTGCAGAGTGGTTTGCGAAAGTAGAAAACAATGTTTCTTTAAGGAGAATAACCTATTCCTAAAAATCACAGTTCCCATAAGACAAAAAAGCATTTGTGTAGTACTTTTCTCAAGCCACTAATTATCACAGAGGATGGAAATTGGGATTGGGTTTGTGCATGGGAGGGGAACAGGTTCTGGTTAATGCTCCTAACAGAAGGACTGGTTTCCTAATTGCAGGAAGCCAGCAGGAGGCATTTTCTTCGTGAATTACATCCTCCTCCGGAGGCAAATAACCTGCATGTGGCGCCATGCATGGGCATTAAATGTGTTGCATGTTCTTAGTCTTAGAATAAGTCGTCTTGGCTGAGACATGAGACTTGCAGCCTCTGACTTTCAGATACAGTATTTTAAACCATTTCTTTTTTTCTTTTTCCCTTTTTTTTTTCTTTTCCAAAGGGGGAAAAACCCCTCACCCAGAATATTTGGTAATGTAAGAAGAAATCAAACTTCTTTAAGAACATCAGGAACGAAGCCACAATTTCAGCTTTAAACTTTAATCAGTTTTATGCAGTGGTCGAAATACTAGTTTTCCTTTAGCTGGGATCTATATTTCACTTGTACACAATAGTTTGAATGAAAATCCCCCTTGCATGCTATTTAACTTAGGTCTAAAATGGCTCCGCAGCATAGCTGCAATACTGATGATGCTGTATCACCCCCCAGTGGCGAAGGTGGTACACGGTAGTTAAATGTGGGCACAGAGAAGGCTGACGTTTCTGCAAGTGTAGATACTAATTTTTGACCTAAATTGTTCCCGATCCTTTACAAAATGAAGTTACTTAGACAATGTGTTTGAAAATAGGAGAAGATGACTACTTTCAGTTAGAAATACGCAAATAAAAATGATTCCAAGTAATCAATAGGTTTGCAGTGCAACAAAAAATAAAAGCATATCTGTAACATGCCCATGTAAAACAGAAATGAGTAGCATGTCTGTGGGAGAAGAATACCAAATTCTTCCCTGGCCTATATCTAAAATAGTAATGTAAAAATTCACAGGTGTAGCTGCGGGCAGCAGCTGGACCAAAGTGTACACTTCAAAATCAGCCCGCAACTCTTATTCTGTGTACGTAGGAGAGGTGAGAGCAAGAATTTATATTATAAGGAGAGGTGGCTTTAAGCTCATCAAATACATTGCTGAATAGGCTGTCAGACATGCTTTGCCTGAAATACGTAGTTAAAGATTTCAAGGAGAATTAAATACAAGTGCAGTGTTCCTGTTGCTGAGACACTGGGTTTGAAATTCAGACTTCCCTTTCTCTTTCCATCGCAATTTGTAAAATAGAAGCAATATATTTTCTGGCTATACACTGAAAATATATAAGTTGGAAAACTTCCAAATTTGGTTGGAAACTGAAGTATAATATCAGACACATCTAAATATAGTTAGCCACCATTTGCATAGTTTTGTTACTGATCGGTGACCAGAAATCTGAATTAATAATGTAATCCATTAATAATGTTTGATGTTACAGTGTAATAAACTATGCTTTTACTCAGGCTACATTATTGTACTTGCTGTCATGATTCGCTGATCAAGCCTTCTGCCTATTTTTAGGCCATTTGACCCTTTTAATAACCTTCCCTTCATTGCTATGCTAATATATCCTGTTTGCTGTCAAAGTTGTGTGCAAAACCCCACCAGTGGCGAAAGATCCCTCCCCTTCCAATGCAATATTAGCGTGTAATCCCAGCCATGCTAAGAGAAGCATGTCAGAAGCTTATCTTTTTAGGAAAAATCTATATCTATCATGTAGTCCACTGCAATTATATATGTAGTGTCAAATAAATCATTCCCAGAATTCAAATCCGTTTTCCTGAAAATGTTGTCTCTGTGGGCTGGGAGCTTCTTACTCCTGCTGGAAAGATCTGCATTGCAGTTCTCGGTGCAAATGCTGTATGAGCTCCTGCCCGTATAAAAACATTACTGTATGCTTTTGTTTCATAGACTGAGCAAGTAAAAATAGCGTAAAGGAGCAAAAAAAATTTAAAGCTTCATTTTTTAACTTTCAGTTTTGTGGATTCTTGCAAGTTTGTGAACTAATTCTAAGGGATCTGTGAAATATTTATGAGAAAAAACAACCCTATTTTGATACGGTTAAACTTGCTATATAGGGATCCACATCTGTTTTGAAAAACACTGTGTGTTTTGCAAATTAAAAAGCAAGTTTAATATGAAGTATTCACCATGAGCCTGTCATTTATAGGAACAAAACTGCAGTATAGAGTGAGATGGAGGATGGATAGACTCTGGGCAGCGCTGCTGCTGCTGCACATGCACATTGACACTGACAGCGCCTCACAAAAATGCAAACCTTCTGTTTTAAAAACTTTGACATCTTTATAGCTTTCCTTAGATCAGGAACCGGAGGCATTAACAAGTTCATATTAGGAAATATAATGGCATCTGATTAGTAAGAAAGAACATTAAATCATAACTAATATAAAAAGGCGATATAGTAAACGTCAGTTTTGCCTGTGTTTTGTGGAGAGGCTAGACGACAGCAGCCTGCTAACCAGCCTTCAGCTGAGAAAAGTCAGAATGCTCATGAATGCTTTTCACTTTTAGCACATGTGCCAATAAACATGACTAAGCAGTCTGTTGATGGGCAAGAATAATATTAACATGCAGGTTTTTAAATCGTTACAGGTATCGTTACAAATGATGACAAATAATTTATTTGGCAGTCCAGTGTTCACTGGAAAGATTTTAAAGTGTTCTTAGCTTCTTATCAAAGATCAAATAACATCAAATATTATTTGATATCAAGCAAATTTAATATCAAAGCAAATGTTTAAATGTTATTTCTGAGTACACAGGATGAAGAACAACAAAAATCCCATCAGTCACTTACTGATGCTTGCTAAAATTTAAGCTGTTCCAGGGAGCTCTCAAAGAGTATTTATACCCTGAATAATAATAAGAGCTACTAACTAGGTCTTCTTGTGTTCTGGCAGCTAAATAGCCAAATAGGCATTTGGAAATAAGAGTTGACATTTTGATCTGACAATCCATATGTGTGTTCTCACCGCTGCCCCCCACCCCTTGTACTTGGGGGGCAGGGGGACAGGGCATTCCTAATACAATTTTTGATACATCATGCAATTTGATCTATCTATGACAAAATTTTACCATTAATGCAAAGTGATGCTTTGGGTTTTTAAGAGATTATGTATAAGAGTAAAATGACTGTGGGATAGTTTATGGCTTGCTGGCATTCAGTCTAATCAAAGGTGTAGGTACTGAACAGTGACTTAATGCAAAAGATAATTTCATAAAATTGGTGCAATATTTACTTGAGATTCTGAAAGCTGCTGTGGTGGTACATCCATACTTTTGTACCTGTGGGATGTTTTGCCTTTCATTTGTTGTTTCATAAAACACCTTTGCTTCAGATGTTTTGTCTGCTTGTCCAAAAAGCCGTATGACGTGATCATTTCAATTGGATATCATCAAAATGTACCAGCCCAAAATCAGATACGTAGTCTCCCTCACACTTTTCAGTACATTCTTTGGTACAGGCTTTTTCCTTTCTTAAAAGGACTGAACAATCATAATCTAAGCCTTAGAAATCAGTCTTTTCAATATAATAAAAAAGAAAAAATTCAATAAGGAAATTAATGTAAATGTCAAGACTTCAGAAGCATTTTTTGTAACTTGGATAACGATCTCTTAAGGATGACCATAGTTTGCAAAGCAAGGTAAAAAATAAAGAAAAAGCACGAAGACTATATGCATGAAATTAAATGTATTAATACGTACAGCCATCCTGTACCCATGAAAAGTACAATTTTTTTTTTAATTAATATCAAGGGAAAAGTTTGGGGTTAACTTGCTTAATTCGGATTACAACTGCGCTGTGAACTCAGTGTTTTCATATGGTCAAAATGCCTCAGCAGTAATTGCTTCTGTAATTGCTTACGTAGATCAAGAACAGATACTACTGAACCGACTCTTAGGAGAGGCTGGCTCGTTAGTATTCCTTTTGATTTCCATGCTCTGCTTTTTCAGGAAGAGCATACACTGAATGAGTGTTTGGTGAATAATTCTAAAACCAAGAGTACTTCAGCTTAATAACACAAACACTTTTGATTGCAGAAAAGACACCAAGTTCTTAATTTGTTCTAAAGACGAGGAGCCTATACGTGTTCAGTGGTTGTAGGATTACCCTGAATGAAATTTAGGACTTCCATCAGTATAGACAGCCACCTATTATATGTATTCCTGCAAAACTTACAAGTTTAGTGATGTTGAAATCTCTGCTCTGCATGTAAAATTAGGAAGAGGTGATACCAACTTTTCTGTAGATTCATCAAGCTTTGTCAAAGCAGATAAAGAGTAATATTGCATACAATTCATGCATAGAATTAGGGTTCCCGTATGTGGTAATTTTTTTTTAATTACTGTAGTCCCTGAAGTAGGGAGTAGTATGTTGTGCTTCTACAGCTGGAATTCCACTGTATAATCCTTTGAAATTTGGTGTTTCACATACAAGGTAATGCCTGAGTGCAAAGAGTGCCTTCTTTAAGAAAAGATCTAATTAGCCCTATATAAAATATGTGGAAATGAACACAGATGTCTATAGCAGAGCAGCAGGCATTGGATGGCTTGAATCTATAGCTTTTCAACATGATTTATCGCTAGTAATTAACTTTATTGAAACACAATTTAAAAGGTCAGTAATGTTAGCAAAACATAGCAACAGGAGGGGTAACAGTTGATATGCCTTCAAATGTTTTCCACCAGTTCCAACTTTCATATGAGTTATAACTAAAGTTGATGGGTTTTTTGTTTGTTTTATTCAGCTGGAAAGTCATCAATTCTAGACATGACTACAGACCCAGAATAAATCAGTGCATTTCAGAAACACTGATGAATTTATTTGTATTTCTTCAAGAAATGTCACACTTCAAGGAACAAAACCCTGGCAAGGTAAGCACTGCCAAGTAAGATTAATAGTTTGATATTGTTTAATGAGAAGGTGAGCTAGATTTAAAAAAAAACCCTGAAAAACAAAACACACAAACTGAGATACATTCAGTTATGAGGTTGTGCTGACTTCTGTCTGTACAGAACATAGGTAGGTCATCTGTGAGAATAAGCTGCTGGAGCCTCACTGGTCATTTCAATAAGTGAGAGATTTAAAATATCACATTTAATAAAAACTTAAAAAGCAGAAAAAATACAAAATTTCTAAACATAACATGTATTCTTTTCAGTATGATTGTAGTTTTCAGAAATAGCTGCATAGGTATTATGCGATAGAGGAGAATCCTTCATATTTTATGATGATAATTTTTCTTCCATATAAATATAGTATATTTTTTTACTGGAAAGATTGAGCTGGACTGAGCTGACTCAGTTGGTGAAAAGGCAACTAAGAGTCTTTCCTAGTAGAAAGAAAATCATTATGTTATTCTAGCCAAATACTGAGAAGCTTTTTTCTTCAAAACAGAAATACTAAGCATGTAGCCAGCTCTAATAGCAATATATCATGGAATATATCATGGGAACAATAGCGATACAGTACAGTACATATATAGATTCCTATTTTTATGTACGTGTTGCTAAATTTAAAAATTTAGGACTGGGCGGGGGGGGGGCATTGCCACTGAAGTCTTTTGTGGAAATAGGCCCTTCAGAACTGATGAATTGGAAGTATGTAATACCATACTGAATATTAGGAATTTAGACTGAAAATACAGACAACTAGCAGGGTGACATACATTTCAAAGATATATAATTTATATGAAAAGGAATTATTATAAATATAGGATAATAAAATTAAAGTTGAATTTGAAAGAAGTTGGCCTGTATTGATGTAAGGAAATGCAATATCAATTTACACAGACCCCAAATTTTGTCCTGTAATAAAATGATACAGTAACTGTATCTTTAAGACGTATTGTAGTCCTGATTTAGGAAAGCAAATTTTGATGGCACACCCCCATTCTCTGAGCCATGTCATTTTTTTACTGTTATAATTACAAGCAAAATAGGCACTAATGGTGTGTGCAAAATTTCTTCAAATTAACCATGTTGGTGCAATTTAGCTCCAAAGCAAATGCATTGTTTTGGAAATTTTCAGCAGATGAGTTCAGTACTCAGCATTGTGCCTTTGAGAAAGATACATTACACCTCTCAATCACTGCAGAAGCTGAATTTCAAATTTTATATTTAAATTCAGTTTAGTCTTGTCATTACGGGAATGCTAGAGCAGCCAACAGACATCCAGAGATGCTTAGCATCATACGAGACAAAACAGTTTCTGTGAAGCCGCACAACAGAGGAGAGAACTGTGCTCATAAAAAGGACTTGTTGCTTTTTTGAGTGTGCAACAAGTGTGCATGGTAATACTTCAATTAATAATTTGTTTTGCATGTGCTGCCTGTAACTCTTACGCTGTTTTGTGTAAAGAAGGTGAAGGAATTTCTACTAATATTAGTGATAACCATGAGCTTGTTACATTTTTGTAGTAAGTGAATAAAAATAGCAGGTTCTTAGAGTGATATACATTCTGATTATTCAAAATACATTGCTTGCTTTTTTGCACAATAAATGTTAAAGTATTTTCTAATGTTAAAAAATTTTGTTTTCTCCTACTTTCTACGTTTCGTTTAGAATCCCCCATTTTAGAGAATTCTTCTTTTGCAAAATGATCTAAATATTTATAACAATGGAATTATTAATGGCCAATTTTAATGTCTTTTGTCAGTTTTGCCTATTAGTCTGCAGTGTATGTACATTTTTCACTGTTTTGGGGAGTTACATTCCTGGAGTTGTCCTTTCCTATGTTCTGCGTAAGTACACTCTCTTTTTCAATCATGATTTATGTGTGTGGCTTGTTCATTAGTCGGTCTCTGTATAAAGATTATTTTTCATTTATATATATATATATATATGTGGTTTTTGACAGGTGTTTTTTGTCGTATAGCAGTCCATTTACAGTTCTTTTCAGCCTATTGATTCTGGTGCAATGTGGCTTTGTTCATGTATCGCAGGTAGAGCTGTTAAACTAAATCAAGATAAAGTTAGATGTTACTATGATCATAAATTCCTTGTGGGGATTTTTTTCAAATACTATATAAATTAATAAAAATAGTTATTATTCCATTATTGTAGAAACCAATTCTGCCTACTGGAGATTACAGTATTAGAAGCATATCAGAATGCACTTTGTTCTATCAGTCATTTTTGTTTTAGTCGTAGATGTTCTTGTCTTGGAACAGGGGAAGCAAGTGTCCTCAGACACTGGTGGTAGATGCTGAACTACTTTTCAGTGACAAGAAATCTCTTTTTTCAGAAGTATTCTTATTACTACTTGTTTTCATTTTTGTTACTCGACTATTGTATTATTCAACTGAATGCGTGTAAATAATATACCACGATATATGTGCAAGTGAAAATTTAATTTTTCTTTTCAAATTTAAAATAAATAAGATGATGATGAAAAGATGAAGAAAAAAGGCAATTTCTGTTGCCTCTTCCTTTTACCAAGAAAACAACAGTACACACCTCTACAAGGATGAAACAAGAAAAAAAAAGATTATTAAATGCTTTAAGTTCATTATATGTTTGTCAAAACACATTAAATCATTGTGTAGTCCTTGCCATGCAAAAATGAAATGGCCTTTCCTTATTGTAGTTCCTTCTCAGAGAACAGCACAGCCGTGACAAGTAGGAATAATGTTGACCTCAGATACAACTGTTAACCTATTAATGTATTGGCTCTACTACTGGTGTTAAAAATTGTCCTACAGTATGAGCAAAAGATACCTAGAACTGGAAGACTTCCTTCTGTTTGATAGATTAGTGTTTCATTCAATTGTACCTTTACGCATACAGATATAGCACAGGCTATGAGAAAAATAAATGCAGATGGTGAAGGAGAATGAGAACAAAGCAAGTGCAGCTGTCAAGCAGACCCAAACCTGAAGGAGAGTTTTGGGAACAGTAGTTGTGTAACAGCAAATCATTGGATTCACATGGAAAACTAGATATCTACTATTGTACCTCATCCTGAAAATATATACTTTAAATAATAATTTGTTAAAATAATTAATGTCAATTGACTAGATGATAGAGCATATATATATATATATATACACACACACACATATATGTGTGTGTGTGTGTGTATATATAAAAGTAATACTATTAGGCATGGAATATGTATTTTGACATCCAAAAAGCATGTGCAGATGATTTGTGTTTCTTCAGAATAAAATTTTAATAATTTGTGGAAGGTCAGGAAAGAAGAGGCTAAATGTAGGAATGATACAAGAGAGAAATGTTTCTCTAGAAACTGCTTTGTGTGCTTTGAAGAGTCCCCTTTCCCCTTCCCCTAACCCCCCGCGAACGATACCTCTACCTGTCTTGCAAACGGCATGAATGTAACAGAGTTTAGAAATGAACGTTGATTTTTCTCAGTTCCAGGTTTATGCCCCACCCAGAATATAATTTCCTCTCTTAGGGAAAATACCAAAAACACTTCAAAGATTTAGTAGTGGTACATCTCAAGTTCGTATTTTGTCTGCCAGCTTACACAGACATTCAGTGTAATACCACTGTAGGAATCTAGTAAGGTAGTGAACTTGTTGCCAATTGCTTCTGGTCCTACTGGTCTTAGCAAATACACGTTTGATGAGGACATACAAATCTGCTCCCGATTCTCCCTGACAGAGGAGATACCTGCTTGCATTCTATTTCTGAACAAACCAAAACTGAACAATTTATGTCCTTGCTTTAAGGATATACACCATTTATTTTCACTAGATCTGTCAATATTATTTAATTCTTTGCTTAAGTGTATGTTCAGTTCTAGCAGATCATATATAGTCACAGTCTGATGACAATCTCTACTGTGTTTTAGCAATTGCTTTTATTTTTCTCGTCTTTAAAGATTTACCTAAAGACTGTGATGACTGGAATGTAGCCTGACTCCGATTTGAAATGAGAAAGGCAAAGTGATATTAATGAAATAATATATGAAGAATTGCTTTTGGGAGGCATTATCTGTAGTTTATACTGAGAATGATATTATCCCTGCAAGTTATAGCAGACATAGAAAAGATGGCCTCCACAGTAGCTATTATTTTAACTGGAATACTTCAAAAGAACTTCATTTATACTATCAAGTTTTGTGATCAGCCTGTCTCAGTTTTTTTTTTTTAAGTTTGCTGTTGGGTGTTTGGAAGGTGTTAACTGATATGACAATGTAGTTTTCTGTGATGAATATGAATGCCTCCTAGAAACTAGACTTGACATCAATAGCTCCTCTGACATGAGCATTTCAGTGTTTGTTATGTAAAACTAATTGTGTTACATAAAATTAATAGTTTTGTCATCTTATGCAAAGGTATTGCATAATCCTTACTTAGTTGCTTTTCATAAAGTGATATTCAAATACGATTTCTATTTCTGTCTTTGTTTTTATCACAGTGTTGTGTGCCTTTTTATGTCCCTTCTTCAAGTGCAATGAATTTGGACAGAAAGTGTGCAACAAAATTAAGTCTGTTCTGATGAAAATAGATTTTGGAATAGTGGAGTATATCAACCAGAAGAAAAAAGAGAGATCTGGTGAGTAATTAAGGAGAGACCCAAATAATGTATTTCTATACGCAGAGGAAATTTTATTCAGCTTGCAATTTAGTTTGTCCTGTGAAGCCAAGTATAAAGTTAATTCTAACTCACATATTTGAATCTGACTACCATTTTTAGCTTAATAAGGATATATAATGTATAATAATGTATGTCAGAAATCTGGGAATGGTAAAGAATGATTTCGTGGACGGAAACAAGGCAAGACTGATAGTTCTCGTTATACTTTAATGCTTGAAGATTTTCAGAAAAACTACTGGCTGTGAAGCATGAAATGCTTATCTCTATCTGGATAAGGAAGACTCATGCAGGAGCGAGAACTCCCCAAGAACACAAAATTAGTCCATTACAGAATTTTCAGTAAGAGAACAAACTCTGTTCTAGTATCTAAATCTGCCTCTCCTTATCTCCCAACAGCAACAGGAAAAAAGAGATGATGTTTTCTCCCCCAAATGCTCAAGAAGCATTTAAAAACTGTAATATGGTAATAGCTATAAATTAATCAAAGTTCTTATTTAGACTGGGGAGAAATCGATATAAAACAAAATCTCACCTGAAATTTTTGTAAAATCAGAATCCTTTAGATTTTAAGTAATAAATCTATTTCAAGAAAAAATATATATATAAATGTTATCTTTAGTTTGCTTTTTGCGTGTGCTACAGTTTTGGTAATTCAAACTTTGTAGGGTAGTCGCCTTGCTTCCAGGTAACTTAGCTTTTTAGTTAGTGAGTGTCACAGCAGTAGACTTCATATCTGCTTTAAAATTTGCTTGTAATTGTTCCCGTACAGTGCACTGCTCCTAAACACGAGAGGAACCATCTGCCTTTTTCCTTTCTCTTAAGTATAACGCAGTAGGTGTTGGAAATAAGGAGTAACGCACTGGTATTTTTCCTTCATTTGTTATTCCACCTTGTTTTACTTTTAAAGGAAACAGGCAAACAAGAGAGGGAAGGAGACAGAGCGATCAGACCATTGATTCATAAATTTTGTAAGCCAGTGCTGGGGAAATGGTCCAGGAATCATTCGTCCTGCCTCTCTCCCTCCAATTGAATTCAACCCAGACAAGGTCACTACTTTGCCTCACCATGTGGGTTCACAAACCCTTGTGCTGGCACAAAAGAGGAAGTGGCAAGTTGCAAAAATAGGCAACCAGGAATAGTAGGACTGCATTTTTCAGCAATACTGGCTTATGTTGGTTCATAATATTTATAAAACTCTTCTGAGATAGAGGAAATGAGGCAGAATTTGTGTTTCTGTTTATTAGGAGCATCATTCTACCAGACTTCAGAGGGTACTTCATATGCATACTTGAATATAAATGCTGTGAATGCAGGGAAACTGAGTACAAAGAAGAAGAAAAGTTTTATGGATGAAGATTACATGTAGTTATCCAGAGAATTGTACATTTTCATGTAAAAGTAATGTAGTGATGTAAAAGTAATGTAGTAAACCGCCTAACAGTATGTTACACCTGTGCCTTGTACTGACAGTGTAGTTTAAAAGATAGATACTGTCAGATCATATTATATTACAGTGAGCAACAGAGATTTTTCAAAGAAATATATACAATATATACAATACGGGCAGCTGAATGTGTTGGAAGGTATTTTAAAGAAATATCATCTCTCCTACTTTGGCTGCTGCACAATATATTTTGATAAATATCCAGCCTCAGTCAGCCTTTTATCTGTCCCTAGCTTGTAACAAGTTTATTGTTCTACTCAAGCTGTGGCAAAGAACATACATGTAACCTGGAAGTGCACTGACATGAGTAAGAAAATTTTTTTTTTTCTTTCAGAAAGAGCAAAAGCAAAACCCACAGAAGACGACAGTGAATTAGACATATCAGCCCTGTGTCCTAAGGTGACTTTTCTCAGTCAGCTGTGTCTTGTTTTTAAAATCTATATAGAAAATGGAAAATATCTAGACTGCTGTTTCTGTTTTCTGTGGAAGGCTTTTCCCTGCCTAGAAGGAGACTGTTCCTGAGCTAAGCTGTGTCCATTGCAATATATTTTAAAAGTGATTCATAGTCTCCATCTTTAGGCCTATACTAATTATTGCACTTACATAGTGACTTCTGACCTTCAAAGTAATGGTTTCTGTGGCTGCCTAAACGGAAAATGTGTTTATTTTGTATTGGCTATAGAACAATTAAACCAGTTTCATAGCAAATGCAGCCTTTTTAATTGCCACGGTGGAACTGCAGCTAGTTATTGTCACATCAATATGTCAAATGGAAACATTCACAGATAACCTACATAATTTGTCAGAGACTTGTGTAGTCGCTTTTCTGATAATATCTTTCTAGATATGATAGATTTCTAGATAAGAACACTATATCTAGATTTCTAGATAAGAACACTATAATAAGAACACTTCCTTTCTCTCTTAATATTCTAAATAAGGGTATGTCAAAGGATATTCCATTATAATCAGAATACTGATTCTTTTTATTAAAAACATAAAATTTATAGGAATTCTCATGCAGTATTAGATCAGCAGCATCTAGAGTCTGACTTTGAACGTGATCACTTTAAAGATGCGATTATATTTTGAAAAAATTATATATCCCACGGGATAAAATTTTGTTGCTGATATAACTGAATACTGTTGGATAAATTGGTAGAAGATAATGATTTTTTGATTAGCTAAATTCTCATTGTCTAATGTTTTTGTTTTGATCCAAGTTTATGCATTTCTTTAATGTACGCATATTTTATATTGGCAGGTTCATTCTGCTCTCATTACAGTGAGATATTACTTTAAGAATAAGTAGTGGCTATATGTTTTAAAAGCTAGAATTTTCCACGTTTCTTTAGTATACTAGAGTTTTGAATCATTAAGAAGAAAGTATACTTTAAGTATTTATGCTCCTATTATGTTCATATTTCTACAGTTAAAGCTTCAGTGGTGGACAATTTATTTTGCTATCACATACAAGATACTTTTTTTCAGTATCTAAGCATTGTAGTGTGACTTTTTTTGAGTATAAGAATGCCATGTGTGGGGCTTTTTTATGCCTAGGTTAGTCCTGCAGTTGTTGCCAAAGAGCTGTCAGTGTCTGATACAGATGTATCAGAAGTATCTTGGACTGATAATGGGACCTTTAACTTATCCGAGGGGTATTCTCCACAGACAGACACCTCTGATGGTATGTAATGGTTTTATTTATGTCATCAATTAATTGCAGTCTTGTAAGTTATCTGAGAACTATTAGAGAATTTGAAGGCATAAGGCTTTTTTTATAGTGAATTTAAAATTCATTCCAGTAGTTCCGTTTTATTTTTGATACATCTTGCATAAGAGCTGTCTTTGTCTTAAAAATAATAGAGCACATCAGTGAAAAATCTAAATAAACAGACAGCTGTGGGTTAAACAGACACATTCAATGTGTGCCATATTTATTGCTGTCTTTCACCAAATCTTTTCATCTAGTAATAATGCTCTGGGATAAAGTAAGCTATGTGAATAAAAGGTGAGGAAGAAAAAGTGGATACTTCAAGTTGCTCAGCAATCAAAGAAAGTATTATTAGGCTCTGGATACCAGAATGCTGATAAAGACAGAAAGCAATGAGCCCAAACAAGGTGTGAAGACTAAGACATGTCTTTCAAGGTCAGATCTGGAAGTTCTTACTTTTTAGAGCCCGCTTCCTGCTAGTACTTTGCCTTCATAAAGATTAAGAACAACAGTAGTTTGGTATAATCATTTGTGTGGATTTGTTGCCTTGCTGGTCTTGGATTTCTCCTCTTCTAAAATTACAGGTAGGGTGATACTATTTATCAACATAATAAATGCCTAATTATTTTTATAAATTATTTCTTTAATAGTTAAAGTTGTGATCAGACAGCATCAGACAACCACAAGAATCATGGATTGGAATGGGCCTTTAGAGTTCATCTAATCCAGCCTCCTATTCAAAGCAGGTTTAAGTAGATCAGTTTGCTCAGGGCTGTGCCCAGCTGAATTTTGAGTATATCGAATGATGGAGATGCCACAAATCTCCATCGCTGTCTGGAAATAGTCTGTCTGGAAAACCTGTTCCAGTGTTTGACCACTTTTGTGCTGAAGAAGTTTTTCCTTATATATTGAGTTGAAATTTCCCGTGTTTCAGCTTGTGTTGATGTACTCTCATCCTTCCTCTGGGCACCTCAGAGAAGAGTCCGGCTTCATCTTCTCTATACTTTCCCTTTAGGTAGTTAAACAAGCTACGTGATCTCCCCTTTGCATTCTTAAGGCTGAATCTCTCACCCTCTCCTCATATATCATGGTCTCTAGCCCCCCACTAATCATGCTGGCCCTCCAGGGGATTCGTTCCAATGTGTCAATGTCTTACTTGTACTGGAGAGGTCAAAACTGGACACAGTACTCCAAATGTGTTCTCTCAAGTGCTGAATAGAGGAGAATAATCACTTTCATTGACTTGCTGGCTTCACTCTTGTTATACAGCTCAGTATGTGGTTGACCTTCTTTGCTGCAAATGCTGACTTACTGTCCACAAGGACATCTAGGTCTTTTTTTTTTTTTTTTTCCAAAGGTGCTTACTGTCTAGTTGGCCCCTAGCTTGTAGTGTTACATGAGGTTATTCCATCCCAGATGTAAGACTACACATTTTCTTTTGTTGAACATCATGATGTTCGTTTTACCCCGTTTTCTCCAGCCTTTCAGGTCTCTCTGAGGGCCTTGCCATCCAGCACATCAAGTATACCCCCACGCAGTTTGGTTTTGTCTGTGAACTTGCTGAGAGTGCACTCCATCCCATCATCCAAGTCACTAATAAAGACATTGAATAATACTGGCTGCAGTACCTTTGAGGGACATCACTAATAACTAACCTCCAGTTGGACTTCATATCACTGATCACAACCCTTTGAGTCTGGCAGTCTAGCCAATTTTCCACCCACCTTAAAGTTCACTTACCGAGTTCATTCAACAATTTGGGTGTAAGGATATTATGGAAACTTAAGTTAAATGACTTCCTAAAGTAAAAATAAACAACATCCGATGTTTTCCCCTTGTTCACTGAACCAGTCAATTTATGATAGATGGCAATCAGGTTGGTCAGGCACCACTAGTCTTTGATAAATACATGCTGGCTTCTCCAAATCACCGTCTTGCCCTTCATGCACTTGGAAGTTGTATCCAGGAGGATTTGGTCTATAATCTTCTCAGAGGCTGAGGTGAGGCTGACCATTCTGTAGTTCCCTGAGTTATGCTTCTTGCCATCTTGAAGATGGGTGCAATATTTGCCTTTTTCCAGTCTTCAGGAGCCTCTGCAAGTTATCATGACCTTTCAAAGATTAGGTTGAGAGTAGCGTCACAGGCTATACCGTCAGCATCCTCAGGTGCATCTTATCTGGTCTCGTAGATGTGTGTATGTCCAGTCTGCTGAAGCGCTTCAGCATCTGTCTTCCTCTGTCGTGGGTACTGCTTCACTCCCATAGGCTCTGCTGTTAGATTCAGAGTCCTGAGGGCAGACATTACCAATAAAGAGGCATTACAGAGGCAAACAAAGGCCCTGAGTACGTTGACTATTTCCATGTCCTTTATGACTATATCCCCTACCCCATTTAGCAGCAGGCCCACCTTTTCCCTTTTGCAGCCAATGTACAGATGTGAAGCTGCCAATGCAAAGCTCTCTTTGCTGTTTGTTATCTTTCACTGATTTCAACTCAAGCTGAGCTTTGGCTTTCCTAACTCCATTGCTACATGTGCTGGCAATATCTTTGTGTTCCTCCCAGGTAGCCTGTCCATGCTTCCTCCTTCTGCGTACTTCCTTCTGCTTTCTGAGCTCAATCTGGAGTTCCCTCCTCATCAGTGCTGGGCCTGCTCAGCTTTCTGCAGGGGTGGCCTGTTCCTGTGTTTTGAGGAGGTTGTCTCTGAAGATCAGCCAGCTCTCCTGGGCCTCTTTGCACGCCAGGGCAGTCTCCCATAGGAACCTGCCAAGCAGATTCCTGGTCAGACTGAAATCCCTCCTGAAATCCAGGATTATGATTCTGCTACTTGTCTTGCTCACTCCTCTCAAGACTTTAAACTCTACAATCTTATGGTCACTGCAGCCATCTTCCTTGTTTGGGATTAGCAAGTCTAGCAAAATGCCTTCCTGGGTCAGCTTGTCAATCAACTTTGTCAAGAAATTGTCTTCAACACACTCAAGAAACCTGGATTGCTTGCACCAGCCATATCGTCCTTCCAGCAGATATGGGGTTGGTTAAAATCCCCCATGGGTGCCTGCACTGGTGACTGTGAGGTTTCTTCCCTGGGCCTCAAGAAGGCTTCCTCCACTTCCTCATCATAATCAGACAGTCTGTAGCAGATGCCTACCATGATGTCACCCGTGTTGATCTGTCCTTTGATCTTTACCCATAAGCTCAAACTGGCTGCATTAATGGCACAATATTTGTTATTAGAAATGTGTAAAACACATACTGACCACAATACATGGCCTGTGGAACAGGCCTGAAGGAGCACAATATGGAAATACTTTCTTCTAGTAGGCAGTATTTGAATGAGAAGGTAAAAAATAATTACTTTGAACTTACTTTTTATGCAAACAAGCAAGAGGAGCTTTCATAAGGGCTAAGGAAATGAATCTTAAAAGTATATGCAATATCCCATCTTCTCCATTGTCTTTAGGAAAGACAGACTGCAAAGGCAAGGAGGAAGGGTTGTGCTGTATGCAAAGTGGTAGCTCAAATTCACAGAGCTTTGCCAGGTGATGAGCCAGTTTGAGCTTATGGGTAAAGATCAAAGGACAGATCAACACGGGTGACATCATGGTCAGTATGTGTTTTACACGTTTCTAGTAACAAATATTGTGTGCCATTAATGCAGTTCTTAAAACCTAATCTTTGACTCTATCAGTTTATTCACACATGCTTACATGTTTGTAATTTATATATATTCTGTGAAGAAAAGGATTTTAAAAACATATTGCCACATTATATATTTTAGGACTTCATGGGGTTGATGTGTCAATGCTGTGCTAAATATTTGCATGGGTTGTTTCTTACACAGCCGGATACCATTTTTAAAAAATATTTTCCTGTAATATCATTGAAAAGAATTATTCCCAAGTAGTTTCCCAACCTGTACCTAAATATTGCAAAATAAGTAGTAAACTTTAATGCTGTGGGTTGACGGAAATGGAAAGCCTAATGTAACTGAAAGGTCATTTTGTTTGGGGGTTTTTTTTTGATGTTTTTACCTTCAGCCTGACATTTTCCATGGGTTTGGATGATTAGCTCAGGCAGTATGAATTCAAATTCTGAGTCAGGTTGATATCAGGTGATTTGAGGTTTATGACCTCAAAATGATTTTATTTTAGATGTAACATAAAGCTCCTCTGCATTAAGTCAGTTGGCTATGGATTAGTAAACGTATTCAAAAGGAACCTTTGTAACTCCATTTTAACATTTGGCTGCTTTTTGGAAGTCTTTCTTGTTTGCTAATAGTGTTTCCTACTATTAATCCTAAAATAGATTTTGACCGACCTAGCGATCATGAAGAAGCTTTCGCTAGAGATCTTGCAGAATTTCCTTCTTTAGAAAATGGTGCAGGAACAAATGATGACGATGACTCAAGCATTGGTATGCCTATCCAGCAAAAAAGAAAGAACGAACAAACGTGTTTGAAGATGGATCGCTCTTCCAGGCAGAGTCAAGAGAGACCATCCACTGCAGGACTCTCCTTGCCCTTGACCAGTGACCAAACCTTTAATTTAGTGAGTGGAATTGCTGGGGATGTCATTGCAGCTGCGGTGTCTGCTGCCATCAAAGACCAGTTGCAGTCTGCACAGCAAGCACCCTCACATGCAGCGCCCAGTTTGAGTGAGGAGACAGACACAGAAGAAGCTGATGATTTCGAACTGCTTGACCAGTCTGAGCTTGAGCAGATTGAGAGAGAACTGGGACTTTCACAAGGCCAAGAAGCAGAATCCCAGGAGAAAAAGAAATCTTCAGGCTTCCTTTCAAATCTGCTTGGAAACCATTAACCTGGAAATTGGAGCTAGTAGAAGAAATGAAACATAAAACACACACACAAAAATCAAATGCAAAAAAAAAAAAAGGAAAATTCTGAGCTGTAAGCTTTAACTATCACTTTAGATGTGTTGTAATAATTTTCCTTATACAGAGTGAATTAACTGGATAAATATCAGCTGATACTGATAGTTTAATGTTTTTGGTAGTTTATACCTCAGTGTAATAGCATGGAAATGAATTATCTATCCACTGCAGTTGAGTGTTGGAGGTCAGTTGTTCAAAAAAGTTTGGGGGGATCTTTTAATCTTTTTGCCAAATATGTATTTTTGGGTCCTACACCAAATTTCCAGCATTTGCAGTTTATTTAATTCTTGCTGTCAACCATGTAATACAATTAATGATTCACATGCTAAGGGTAAGTTATCAGAGGATTGCAATGAGATTAATTAAATTTTGCCTCCTTCAATCATACTGAAAAGTTTCAGTCCCTGCAGTTATCATTATGTATGGTGTATCTAATATTCATGAAACACATTAACCAGCAGAACTCTCAGTAAAAGATGTGTGCAATGCTATGAAAAAACTTGATTTTATATTTAAAATCTTTTTTTTGGATATGGTGATGCATTTCCAAGTTTTTTGCTGTTCTAGGCTTGTAGTGTTACTAAGTGGCATGTTATTTGACTGACAACCTGCTGTGTTCCCTGATAGAGTCTGATCATTGGCAGCATCACCCATGTAAAGTCAGCCAATATATTTTCACATTTAAGACTGTTAATATCATGCAAACTGAACAACATTTGGGAGGGGGGCAGATGGGAGTACTTATTGTTTGGAGTAGGGAAGCTATGAAAGCTGGAGGTAAAAAGAAAGGCTTTTTTAGCTGCCACTTCCTTAATTCAAGATTTTTTTTTCCCCCCTGAGACAGCTGCCATCACTTGCAACTAAAGTTGTTTTGCAAGCTGTATCCTTTAAGATATTCTTTAAGTATTCAGTGAGGTCATTTGCTATAGAAGACACTCAGAATCTTCTTGGTGTGTAATTTACAACAAAGAAAAATGGAACTTGTTTAAATTATTAGCCATTTTCAACTCCACACCTGCTCAGTGACTGGCATGGGATCTTAAGCAGGTAATTTATTTAACTTTTTCTAGTGTTTTTTGTTCACCTTTAACAAAATTGAAATGTAAAACCAAGCAATAGTAATCAAAGAAATAGGAAGAAGTAAAGTTAGTTTTACTAATGTGATGTAAACTGTTAGCAAAGTTGAGGGACCATGTCAGCTGCTACTACTACTGAAGTGATTTTCCGTTTGCTGGCATTTTAAGAGGTGAATATTGTCATCTAGGACCCTCAGAAAGTACAGCCCAGTTTATAAAAAATCTTCCACTAACATATATGTGTAGGTAAACCTGTGTTTGAATTAAGTCCATTTTAATTTATTTTGCTTTCTGAGGTGAAAAAAATAGGCAGATGGCCAACAAAATTGTAGCTAAAGCAAAGATAATGAGAATTTTTTGACAGTAGCTTTATTGTTGCTTGTGCTTTTGTGTCAGTAATGCATATTGACTGTGTTTGCTGTCCTTTATCAGTAAAAAGGTGAGCCTGTGCCTTCATTATCAAATCAATTATGAAATAAGTGGAAGCCGGATGGATACAGAGCCCACAAGATGCAGCTTTTGAAATTATATCATCATAATATTAAATACAAGTTTCTGGAAATGATTAAAAAATATGGCCACATCACTTTCATTCACAGTGTTAGTTATTAAGTTTTTAAGTTTCCTTTTTAACTTTCCCCATCTGTCCTTCCCGTTTGAAAAATTAAATAAAAGAAGCTTTCGCGGGGAAATCAGTGAGTTCAAAAGCCATTTAAATTTCTGGGATGAGTTACAAACACTGTTTCCTTGCTGCGCGTTTAGAACAATCTCGACAGTTAGAAGAGTACGATTTATAAGCTGTTGATGAAACTTCATAAAATACCTAAACAAAGTGTTTCCTGTACAAGCGTACTGGTACAAGAAGATTAAACAGGCTACAGGACAGGAAGAACTTGGGAAGGGAGCAGTCCTTAACAAGATTTTTATCAAGTGGATTGACGAGGCATACTAGCTTGCTGTCAGTGGTGGCATTGGGACAGCCCGCACTTTATTGTTGTTTTATGAAGAACACTTGTGGTTACAAAAGGATATAACACAGGGGCACTCTTCTAGAATAATAATTTACTTCAAGAAGGAAAAGCAGTTGGAGGAGTTTCTCGGACTTTTTGTAAATGATCCATTTTCTGGTTTCAGCATAGAAAAGTAGATTAATTTTTTTTTTCCTCCAGTATGACTCTTAAATTATTTACAGGAAGTAAAACAAAGCAAAACTTTAACAAGCAAATCATTTACATTTAGGGGTGTAATTGCTTACTTGAGTGTCTTTTAGAATTTTATCTTCCTGTTCTCATAGTAGTTAATTATATAATATTTAAGCCCCTAGATACTGTGTAACAGGAAGGAGGTAATTTTCTAACATTTAAAATACCTCCTAAAATAGCAGAAAGGTGCTTAGTTGTCTACCAAAAATCACCTCTTCCCTCCCAAACAACCGCACATCGGCAACACTTTGCTCAGATATAATACATTCCATGACCAATAGTTTCCTAGTTGAACACAAAGAAAAAGTTTCTCTCCTTTGTAAGATCCCTTCCACACTGTGTTTGGTTGGAAATCACTTGAGGAACCTTAATTTTGCTGTATTCTAACAGCAGCCACAAAATAGCGGTTACGTATGTATTCCTGCTACGTAATCCGCCAGCGGTCCACAACTTCTTTCCTACCAAGCGTTCTTGTGACCTTCCCATCTTCCAAAACTAAATGAAAGGGCAGGAAAAAAGGCAAACGAGTATGAGGTAGTGCATAGCTTTAAAGTGTCTGTTTGTTACTTAGGGTATGGCTATGTGAGCAAGTTACCAAGAGGTAATAAGGGATATAATCTTGCAGTGGGATCAGTAGGCTGCAGTGTCCACATGCGTGCATGCTCTTATCTTGCGGTAAATTCAAGATACCATATATACAGATATATATATTTTTTAATAGTATGCTTAACATTCACCTTCCCTTGCCTCACAATGGCTTCTCCCTGTACCCATTGCCCCCTAAAACTACGTTAGCCCAGGATCTAGAGCATGTAGCTCAGCCCTTTGTACTCAGAAAATTTCCCCTTGCATGATTATACCCGTAGACTGAGTAATGATAGTTTAATTAGTGGCCTTAATTGTGTTAAATCTGGAATAAAAGCACCTGCTTTCAACACTGAGCACTTTTTCAGATGTATATACTATATATACATTTACTTGCAGTCCTTCAGTTTGTTCTGGAACAAAATTATTCAACACGGCAGAAGAGGAGGGGAAAAATGTTTTAACTCCAAGTAAGAGGATTTCAAGCTATCAAAAAAATACTTGTTTTACTTGCTTTTTGTTCATTTGCACTTTTTCCAGACTGTTTTATCCAAGTGTTCTGAACAAATTCACTGTGGTCTAAATGTTTGTTCTTAGTTAAAAAACCAATGTGACAGTCTGTAGGTAACATCTATCCAGGTAACCAGAAACTGGAAAATTACAAAATGTCTTTATTTAAAATATTTTGCAGCACTTTACCTAACCTGATTACTATTTTATAAACATGGAATTATTATATTGATTGTTTGTAAAACCATTTAATAAAATGTTATACAATTATATCTAATTGTATATTTGTTCTCAAAAGAGGAGGAGGAAAAAAAAAAGCAAAACAAAAATACTTCAGTCAAGTTTTTGCCGCTCCTTTTGTTTATTCCTTTTCCTAATCTGATGTGAACCACTGTTTAATAGTGTGTCGGGTCATACTGAATAAACACGAATCTTAGCTCTCGGCCGCAGACTGATAATTTTAAAATTATTTTCAGAAAGGGAATTTGGATTGCCTTGTTTTATATTTAAAAAAAAAAAAATGAGGAGGAAGAAGAAAACAAAAAGAGGCCGTGAACGCGTGGAGTTGGGTGGTGGCAGCGGCCCCGTCGGCCTCGCGGGGTTTGACCTCCCGCTTGCTTCGCGCAGCGCCAAGAGCAGGAGTGAAGAGATGGCGGTGCTGGGGCCCTTTGGGTTTGGGTTTTTTTTTTTTTTTTAACGAATTATGGTGTTTTCTTCTGCGAACGCCAGGAGTCGTGCTCGGTGTGTTCAGGAAACGCCTTCCAAGGGCGTTTTGGTAAGCTGGCGAGCTGAAGGTGCTTTTATTCTCACTTCGGCTTCCCCAGAGAAGTCACAGACGCCTGAAGCGCGGGCGGCGCTTCCCC